AAACAAGTGTGTTTTGAAACAGAAAAGAGCATTTATTTGGCTGTAGAAGCTCCGCCCCCGCGGTTTGTTGAGCTGGTTCACGGCCTTGTCTGTCAGGTGCTGGATTTTGGCCTATATGTGTTTTTATGGGTTGGGCAACTGGAAACAGGGATGAGCAGTCCACAACCACCAGACGTATATGGAAAAGCAAGTAACGCTGCATGGGGAAGCTGCGCTTAATGGCAATAGTTAAAATGTGTCATGAACGTAGTGAACTCTGTTAAACGCTGTGTGCGTCATTGTGTCTGAAGTCACAGTTCATTGACCGGCTGCTCCAGCCTACTCTCACTAAACCTTGACACATGCCTCGACTCACTGCTGACCAAAGTGTCATGTGTTGCTTCACTCTACATACCCTGCAGCAAGTGCCCCATGGAACTGTAGCACCCACTTGTAATAAATATTCTGTTTTTAACTGAATGAAAAATGGAATTTACATTGGATTTAAATAAAGGCAAATAAAACAGGAAATGCTGTTCTGAACTCAAGAGATACTTCACCTTTTTGAGTCTGGTAGTTTGCAGTTCTGGTTACGTGACCTTTTTTCATATAATGCTGCACTTTATAGTGTTAAAACCATGGACTGTATATAAGTAGACGCAGTCAACGTGACACCACACATTAGTTTGTTGTCTGTTGTTTTGAAGTTTACTGATTTTGCCATCGCCGTTTTGGGCTATGGCTACCATGTTTTTTTTTTTAATGACAGAAGTTTACGTAAGTAGAAGATAGAGGTGAAGTAGATGTCACGGTGTGGTTCACTTCCTGTTGTATTTTGTACAACCACTCTGCCACTCGTGTCCCCGGGTAACTTCACTTCCTGCCTTGTCCTGTGATCGTCTAATAGTTTCCACCTGTGTCCAATCACCTGCACCTCCCTTGTGTATTTAAGCCGTGTGTCTCTTGTCGCGTCATTGTCTATCGTCGTGGATGGCCGTAGTTTCATGCCTGCTGTTCTTCCCCTGGTTCCTGTGTTTTTTGGCCTTTTGACTAATAAAGCCTTTTGTTTTCCTGAGAGGTCTGCGTTTGAGTCCTGCCCCCCCCACGCATCCCTGACAGTGGAGACGCTGTATACAGCTCCGGTAGCTGCAGCAACCTTTAACATCCAACATTGTACTCTAAATGGACCATAATTTACTAAATGAACTTGGTGTGTTAAAGCAGACTTTAAATTGAGACAATAAACTTGTGTTTGCAATTTCTACCGAGGTATTAAATCAAAGACACATTATTGTCTCTTTTTCTGTAATTTTCTCACACATTTTAGGATCAGACTTTTTTTCGCGACCAGAGGAGTCGCCCTCTTATTAATGTAGATAATGCAAGTTGGAGACTCTTCTTCATTGGCTTCAGCGGGCAAAACCGCTGGTTGCTGTATGGTTAAAGCAAGGACTAGCTTCCCTGCAATACAACAACACTGCTTATCCGATTACCCGATCATATCATGTACGAAGCCCACAGTTAAAATATTGTTGGCTTTTTTCAGTATTCTTGAACTAAGTCAGTACTCAACGTTAATTAGATTGCTAAAAAAATGCGCTACGTCATTGATGCACTGCAATTTGAACCAACATATGCTACACGCCGATAATAAAGACAGCCTTCTAATCAGACTATGATTTAAAGGGAACTCAAACATCTTCATTCAGAAACACAACTCAGGATTAGTAATAGTCTAAAAATGGCTCCACCAGTATGCAAGCCAAAGCCACTTTATCCAGCAGGATGAGACTTGCAAGTGTAACTAAAAGCCAACTAAGCTCCCTAAGCAGCACATTGGACAGAGGAGGGTTGGTGTCAGTAGTTGTGGTTGTCGGTTTGGGGTAAAAGGGTCGAGGTCCTTGCAGGTTTACTACCAACTCTTTGCGAAACTCTTTGGGGAAATATTTGTTCTGAAAAACAAGCTGGGTTTTTAACAAATATGTTTCTTTGCTGTTGGTACTGTGTGTCTCAGGGGAGTGTCTGAAAATAGATAGTGTGGGGAAAAACAGCAACTTTAGGTGAAAGGGTGACGTGTCCTGTATTAAAGAGCTCTCCAACAGAGACCTTTTTCTTGGAAATGTTTAACATCTCAAGGGGTGGAGGGAGGGTGAACAAAACACTGGTTATGTCACAGCCATTGCCCCCCTCCTCCATCCCTTCACCCTTGATCCCGCCCTTGATCCCATCACCTCACCTGACACTAAACACTCTGAAACCTGCAGTGGTCTGAACGCAAGTGAACAGCAGCATCTTCCTGTTTACACAGAGCGGTGCTTCAGAGCTGCCAGGGGTCCAAGGTCAGCCGGTGATGCCAAAGCTGATTAGGAGCTTAAAAAAAAAACTTTGCTTTATCTAAATATCTTTAAGAGTAGAAATAGCTGCAACCGCCACCAACTCTTTACAAATATTTTTAAATCAGGAGAGACTTCAGGATAATTAAAAGTAATGTATTGCACATGCATCAATATAGTCTTTTGGAGCTTGGAGTCCATGCTGCTGTAGGATAAACCAGGGGTAGGGCTGCTGAGGTTGGATAAGGCCTACCCCCCTGACACTGGTGGTGGTGACGAAGAAAGTTGCTTCCATCCTATGATGAGCATCACTTTGGTACTGATGGAAAGAAAGTTGCATCTGATACAAGCTGAAAGGACAAGCAACAGAGAGAAGAACCGTTTTTAAGTGTGATTTCAACAAATCTTCAAATGATTGCCTTTTAGCTTGATCAGCTGAGCCACTGGGAGAGATGTGGAACCCTGATGAATGAGCAGGATTGTTGAGCTTGTCTTTCTGACTGACCTTTTGCTTGAGCTTCATGTAACCATTTTTGTTTATTACACTAGATTAGATTTGTTTATTACACTTCTCACTTCAAAGCGCATTTACGCATATCTCCCATCTATTGCCTTTTGTTATCTCTCCTAAAGATGATGATCATGTGTGATCATTCCAGCCTTACAAAAATGTGCCCAAGAATATCTTTTTCCAATTTCTCTTTTGGCCCATTGCAAGCATTACAAAGTGAAGTAAATCAATTTGACTCAATAGGTCATTGTGGAGGGTTCCACAAGCGTTGATGTTAGCTGGAGTGGAGCAGCCGAATCCAATTAGTTTGCGGGGCAAAAAAAAATTAATTCTGTGGACTTCGCTTAGAACCAAGCTATAACTTGCTGTAGCTAGACTAGACTTCCTCATGTTTTCGCTGGAGAAAACAGTGTTGAATGGATGCAGTAACCAACAGCCACTGTCAGTCGGAAGACGACAATCTGGCAAGATGGGTCTTTGTTTCTCTTTAATGTCTTTCTTTAAACCGGTTGTATAAAATTGACTCAGTAGTCTCGAAGCTATAAGATCATTACAATTCTTCCATTTGGTTTGTACGTTCTACGTGCTGCATTATTCCTGACACGTCCAAAGCTGATGCAAAGTGTCTCGGTTTGGAACTAAACATCAGTATTTAATAAATCAGGGTGAGAATGTGTTGCAAAAGCAGAAACAACAGTAGCAGTATCAGAATCCTATGCAAAACAAACCCCCTCAGTGTGACATAGTGTATCCTTTCACAGGGAAAAGTACTGACTCTGTACTGTGCGCTCAAGCACACACTGAAACACTCCTATGGTGTTCACTAGCTGGCTGACAGTGGATCGTTTATCAGAACGCACTGAGAGGTAATCTAACCTACGCAGGCAAATCTAATTAGGTCGCTGCGAGGCCCGCTCAGCTGGAGTTAAGGTGAAACTTCTGTTGCTGGTATTATTTAAACACACTGGATGGCTCTCAGGTAACTGCTCCAAAATCCCAATCTGGTATAATCTTCATAATTGAAATTATATATTCCTAAAGACCAATATTACATCATACAATTAACAAACCTCGAAGTAGGGAATGTGTCCTTACCCCAAGTGAAGGAGTTCAAGTATCTCAGGGTCTTGTTCACGAGTGAGGGGAAGATGGAGTGTGAGTTTGGCCGGAGAATCGGAGCAGCGGGGGCGGTATTGCACTCGCTTTACCGCACCGTTGTGACGAAAAGAGAGCTCAGCCGGAAGACAAAGCTCTCGATCTACCGGTCAATCTTCGTTCCTACCCTCACCTATGGTCATGAAGGATGGGGATGGGTCAAGACCGAAAAAACTAGGTCACTCGTACAAGCGGCGGAAATGGGTTTCCTCAGGAGTGTGGCTGGAGTCTCCCCAGTTTAGGTGGTTTGGGCATCTGGTGAGGATGCCCCCTGGGCGCCACCCTAGGGAGGTGTTCCAGGCACGGCCAGCTGGGAAGAGGCCCCGGGGAAGAGCCAGGACTAGGTGGAGAGATTATATCTCTGCACTGGCCTGGGAACGCCTTGGGATCCCCCAGTCAGAGCTGGTCGATGTGGCCCGGGAAAGGGAAGTTTGCGGTCCCCTGCTGGAGCTGTTGCCCCCGTGACACGACCCTGGATAAGCGGTTGAAGATGGATGGATGGATGGATGGATGGAACCCTAACCCTGGGTGGAAGATGTCTCCTTGTTTTAGTGATCTATTTGATCACTAAGAGTGTGTGGAAGTTCATATGACTACCTTTTGAATGCAGATTTTAACATATTTTCTAATATTTAAATAAAGCTTTTAAATTTTAAAAATTGGATTTCTTTGTTGTGCCCGTGCACTGAGGAAAAATGTCTCCAGATACCTCCCGTTAAAAAAAACTCACATTACAAATCCCTAACTCAGCGATCAGAAATAACACAATGTAGAAAAACAAAACTTGTCTGAGCTACTTGCTGTCGTTATAATAAGGGTATGAGGAAAGAGGTCAGTAGCACACACACGCAGACACACACACACACACACACACACACACACACACACACACACACACACCTTCTCTGCATTTACGCTAAAACCCCGAAGCCCGGCCTTCCTCAACCGCTGGAGCCAATTGCGGCATGCCGAGCAGGCGAGCCTTCATGAAGCGCATGTGTGGGTGAGAGAGGAAGAGAGAGAGAGAGAGTGAGTGTGTGTGTGTGTGTGTGTGTGTCTTGAGGCGTAGAGCAATGCAAAGACCGTGTCGCGGAGTTGCATTGCCATTACGCGCTGTTACGCACAGCTGCGCAGCTGCTTTGGAGAGGGGAGCCCGAGTCGCAGGAGGAGCGTTTTTTGCAGGATTTCTCCCCTCACGCGCATATGAGTGAGTCCTTGCAGGGTGACTGGTGTTCTGTATGTTTGTGCCTGCGCGTGCTTGTCCGTCTCTCTGTTGGGTGACACAGAGGGCCACGGGGCTCCGCAGAGCCGTCTTTCATGCGCTGTGCTGATGAGTGTGATGAGCTCACACTATCTATAATCGTGGAAATCTAATACGGGTACTTTTTTCCGTTGATCTGACTAGTCATGGTTAAATATGGCGTAACTCGCGCATGTGTGCATGGTGAATACCAGGAGCGCGTGCTGTCAAAGACTCTCCGATGTTACTGCATAATGGAAAGTGACTTAAGTTTTCTTAAGTGTGTTATTTTTTCCCCACGACGGCTTAGTGAAGAACTCAGTCCCACCGATGCCATATGCGTGAGTGGAATGTTGGCGTTAGCTCACTAGTTACATAACTCCCTTAAAGTGGTCGGAGGGCACCAACAGTGAGACTGCACAATAACTTTAGTGCAATTCCAATAAACTATCTCAAGGTGAATTACGTAATACTTTGATCAACGAATCTAGAGATTTTTCTCAATGTGAGGACCTTGTGAAGCTCTCGGTGTTCCATTTGAGAGAACGCAGCTTTTCAGCTTTACAGAAGAGGGCGCACAGTCACTGATTTTATTGTTATTGCACAAGTGGCAATGTAAAGTGATTTATTTAAAAAATCTTTAATCATCACGATTATAGTATTTAAGTCCTTTGATAATGTCTGGCATCCTTTTAAATATTTGATAAATGTAAATACAGGTTGTATGTCTGGGTACAAATAGACACTAAATCCTCTGCTCATCATCCTATTGAAATCTGTTGATCTGTTGATCTGTTATGCATGAGGCTTTCATGTTGAACTTTCTAATTGTATTCTAATTTCTGAAAGCACATTGGTGTGTGTCTACAAAGGTGAGTATCACCATGGGGGGGCAGGGGATAGAAGCAGATCAATAAATGACAGCAGAACCATTTTGCTTTAATATAAGAAGCACTGAGAAGTGGGAATCCATACTCAGCTTGAAGTCTGAACCAGCAGTTGCAGCGTCTACACAGAAACATGCACACACACAGTCTTCAAATTACACTTCCTTCACACATGGTTTGCTCTCCTTTTGAAGTGCCATCAACTGCAGACCTCTTGAACTAGCAGCAAGTACGTTGCATAGAGACAAAACATGGTGACACATTTTCAGTCTTTCTGCTGGTTTACTTATTGCAATACAGTATAATCTTGACCGAACTTTCTTGTAGAACTTTAACCCTGTTTGTCGGACTCACCTGACCTGACAGTTGCTGTTGCCATGCTGTTTGATTTGGAATGATGATCACCCCAGGGCGGGGAAGTTAGAGTTAATTGAAATTAGTAGGTTGAAATCTTCTCCTTTTAAAGACACAATGTAGTTTTGGTATGCAGTCAAATTGAAAGACATTTTTTTCAATATAATGATCAGAAACTCATTTGTCCTTTGCAGGAAGAGGAGAGAAGTATTTTGTTGCAGAACCGATTGATCTTTGGCGGAGAGCACAGGAATGGTGGATCACCTCCCGCTTGCTGAGGAGACCTTCCTGTATCACACCGACTACCCGGGGTCGGGCTACAATTGCCTCTGTCACCACGCTAATGGTGACACGTTGCCGGGCATCATGGTAACCGACGCGTGCATCTACGAGCATCACCACGACAACCGCTACCAAGGGATGACTCTTTCCTCCTCCCCTCGTACCTCTGAGGATGACCTCAGTGACTCCTCCAGCCCTCGTTCTTCCCTCTGCTCCAGCCCAGAGGCTTCGTCGCCAACATTGCGGCACGTTCTTAGCGCCGGCTACGAATGCAGATGCAATAGAAGCAGCGCGAGCTGTAGCTCCTCGGGAGGAAAGAGTCAGGACAGCCTGCTTGACCTCCTACTCTCGCAAGCCTCCCTCCCTCGCAGTAGCTCTCACTCTTCGTCTTTATCTTCCTCCCCATCCTCCCTGTCCTCTCCATCCTCATCTGCCCCTTTATTACCCATGGGACTGGCCTGGGAGTCCAAAAGGGAGCAGCGGCTGACTCTCCTCCAGCAGCATGCCAAAGACGATTGCTACGAGTTACCTGTCTTCTTAGACGGAATGCAGGATCCGGCTGCACTCCTCTTTCAACCCACCCTAGAGGAGATTGAGGAGTTCCTGGAGGAGAACATGGTGGTGGCATTGGAAAAAGAAAAAGACGGGAGTGATGAGGTGATGTTGGCAATGCCAGAGAACATTGAGGCGAAGGGTTCAATGACTATAGCAGGAGAACTGTTATTGGTATCACCGAATTTGGATCAGACTGTGCCCGTGGCTCATTCGCCGCTCTCCTTGAACGCCGAGACCAAACACGCCCCTTGTGACTTGGACATGGACAGCTTGCCATCAGCAGTGGATTGTAGTTCTCCTCGTATTGTTGACGGGGTCAAACACGAGGATTGTAGTTCACCACCAGCCTCATCAGAATCTACCGACGCCTCCAGCATGCCTGTCATCCTACAAATTCAGCCCATCCAGATCAAACAGGAGCCCGCCCCGAGTGCCATCTCAGATACAGTCACCCAGAAAGCCCAACCCCAGCCAACCCAGGCCCCATCGGACATTAAAATCGCCCAACTCTTGGTCAACATCCAGGGACAGACCTTTGCCTTGGTGCCTCAGCTGCTTTCGTCGACAAACATTAACAACTCAAGTAAAAATGGTAGCACCATGTCTCCCAAATTTGTTCGGATCGCACCGGTACCCATAGCCGCCAAACCAACTGGTCTTGGGGAAGGAGGGTTGGGCAGCGGATCCAATGCTGGGGTCCTCGTTGGAGGTCAGAGGTACCAGAAGAGCGCAGTAGCGGACCTCATTAAAATGCATAAGTGCTCTTTTCCTGGCTGTAATAAGATGTACACCAAGAGTAGCCACCTTAAAGCCCACCTGAGGCGGCACACAGGGGAGAAGCCCTTCGCCTGCACATGGCCCGGCTGTGGATGGAGGTGAGCAAAAACATGTGTTCTTTTTTTTAACCAAATCAAATGATGATGCTGATGGGAGCAGTCATGGACTAGATTTGAAAATGTATTAGACCACTCTTGCTACCTTCAGATTTGCACAGATTACAAGCTTGAACTGATCAAAGTCTGGTTAATAAAGATAAATGGATATATTGGTCATTGGATAGAATGTACAGTACACAGACAGTGCAGTTAGATGAGTAATGCCATTGTAAAGTGAGGTATTTCATCCATGCCACGGAGATTACAGCAACCATGTCTATGTCCATCATAGTATGACAAAGGGTGTCTTTCATGTTGCTATTTTTAGTTTCAAAATTATGTTTAAAGGTAGTTTTTTATCAGACTCAAAAACACAAGATATTCCTTTTTTAGTGGCACAATAGGGAAATTCACAGTGCACACAAGAATTTTTTACATGGTAAAAAAACAACAACACAAGAGCAGCAGTAATAAGTAAGTAAAACTACTTTGTCTATTATTAACTAGTAATAATAGACAAAAATAACGATATGCATTTTTTTAAATTCAAAAAACTTCTGTTGGAAAAAATGATTGAGTAAATGTAAGAAGAAAAAAAAATATATATATATAGAGATTTTTTTTTTTTTTACATAATCTCTCCCCTTATATCTTTAATTTATGGATGTAAGTGGATGGTGAAAGGGTTAATCTTAAGGAAAACTACACCCAATCACATTTACGATCTGTACTACATAGTGGCTGTGTGTCTCCACTATCTGTGTGTTTTTGTACCACGGTTCAAGTTGGAGATTAGATAGAACGCCTTTTGAAGTTTTCTGGATGTAGACTTTGCCCCGTGCTAGTTATTCCACTTGTTTGCTTACTGTCTGCAACAACTTCACCCATACGCAAATACACACACATACATGTACATTCATTCACACAGTGGACAATCAAGTTGGCTACTTTATACGTGTACCATCATTGCTTTTCATCTAGAATTCAAATAGAGTACAAATTCCGACTTTTGGATTCATCTATACGTGGAACTATTGCCCGAGAATGCATGTGTCTGGGTCGGGGTAGGGTTGTGTTCGGCCAAACATTATGGGTTAAATCTAGCATCAGGTGAGGTTAGAATTTATACTAGCTTTAGGTTAGGAGAGTAAAACGAGTGAGGATGCTGCACTGAAAACCAGCAGCGACTCAAAACCCCAAATGTATGTCTGGGCTTACATAAAATAAATTGAAAGCATTATTTATACTAGCATATTTAGAATAAATAAAATATAAAATAATTTTCTACACATTTTTAAAAGCTGGTTCATTACAAATGTATGTTATGTTCACCAACAAATATGCATTTGGAAACTTAATATTTGTTTATGTCATTTTTTTAAAGCAGAAGGTTTTGCATCCAGATAGAGCTACCGATGTCGAAGTTGCATCGTTCATAATTAAAGGTTTCGGGTATAATATCAGTTATGAGAAGCAACAAGGTCCACAAAAGGAAGGGTGTCGAAGAAACACTGGACAGATAGAGTTGTTTTAGAAGTGCTCGTTGGTTTAGCTCTTTAGCCAAGATAACCGTTTGCAGGAAAATACTGTGGCAGATTTTGTTGAATAATGGTTTGCATTTTCTCTCCTCCCAAAACTGCACTTCTACAGTCTTCACATCACACCAGCAATATACTGTGCTACACAGTTGCCCTTTCTTTGTTCTTCTATCCAAGAAAAGGGGGTGAGCCTGGGAGTAAGGCACCTCTTACCATCTGTAACTGTAAAAGAGATCCATGTGTTTGCCCCTCTGGAGCACTGAGTATGTAACTTGCTTCGTAAAACTCGGTGGATTCTGCTTCTTTTCCCAAAGATTTTTTTTCTCTTTCTCTTTCTCTGGCTGTAGTTTATGGTTATGCTCATGTTAAGATCTGAATGCACAGACAAATTCACATGCCAACGCTTAAAAGGAAGACATGCAGGCAAAAGTATTTTCAGTTGATTTCAGCTGCATGGAGTCTCCGGAGTTTTTTCTCTTTTTTGCAATGGACTGGTCTAGAACCCAAACAGTTTTCTGTAATAACACTGCGGCTGTCGTCGGGGCACTGAAGCGTTGTCCTTGTCAGCCAATGCATCTGTTGTTACAACAAGACAACATTGTTGGGTTGCGACGGAGCTGACACAGTTTGATTTAGCGACACACTTGGAAACTTAGAGCTCAGCTGACTTAATGCGCTCCGGAGTTCCTCCAAAAAAAAGCCTGTGTCCAAGCTAGAAAGCCTTCAGGGTCCTCAGAACAAATTGGAGAAATCAGTTAGTCTGGATTGAAGACATTTGTGGGATACTAATCTGTAGAGGTTTTATGGTCACACGTTTGTAGCTCTGTCATTGATTTACACTGTCACACATTAATGCAATCACCCATTCACAGTTCAAATTGAGGCTCTCATATACATGGTGACGGAAGACGTGAATGTCTTTGATGATCGATGTTCAAATCTAAAAAGACATTAAAGGATAATACAAGACCTCAGATACACTCCAAGTATGTGCGCTTGCCAAAATCTCTAGTTGCTGTAATTTGCCAGGTGTGTCAACTAACCTGACGGCCTCACCCTTGTGAGCCTGTTTTTCCCTGGACTTTGTTTGGCTGCAGAGCCAAGAACGCAGTTTAGAGACAAGCCAGAACAGAGCCTGCGCAGGTGTTTCCCACAGCGCGCAGTCTAAGATGTATACTACGTGCTGCGCTGCTGCTCCGCCAAGATGCCCTGAGGACTTTAGGTGCAGGTGAAAAACCATGAGAACTGGCACATGATCAATTCCATCCCCCCTAAAAATCCCAATTGGTGTATAAGTCCTGAATGCATGTTGTGTTGAAAGATCTTCCACAATGCAGTATGTTGTAGTTGGGCTCAGTGCCAGATTGGAGTCTGTAGAATAGCTACATAGGTTGTATCATGCCCCGGCTTGAAGCTGATATAGTACAGCTTTAGAGTGTAATATGTGCATGTGCGTCTCACACAGATTTCCATCTGTAGTTACAGGCGTTTACTTTAACAATGACATGCTTCTTGGTGTAGATTAAGTAACTTTGCTAATGCGTTGCACCTGTAGAGACTTGCATGCAACAGATACTTTGACACAAAGTAATTTTGCCTGAAGGGGACTTGTTGTAGAAAGTCCGCCCAAAGCTGCATATTTTTGTATTTAGTATGGATCAAATGTAAGGGGTGGCTTGATGTGACGAACCTAAAGATCACTATCATCCAACGGCCGTTTACTGCAGCTTTTAAGAGTGTGAAAGGCACAGTTTGTGGCATTTAATATCAATAAGTATATATTTTTTTGTGTATAATCATCATTTGAAGAATGGGCCTTTCATGTTTTTTTTCCGCCATTAGGTTCTCATGCTCTTGGAATACAAGGGAATTTTGAGTCGATTGGAAGCTGATGCCGAATTCTACATGCAGGCCCTTTAAAACACCTTTAAATTGTTTTCAGCCTGCAACTTGACTGTTTTGGTCGATTACCTCTTATGTTATCTGTGTATCCAGTAAGAGAAGGCAGGAGATTTTCTCCAAAAAGCTCTTATACTTATATATAACTTGTATGTTACCTGTCCAGCACCAAATATGTAAAGTTAGCAAATAACTGCTGGGTAAAGCACTTAGCTGCTGAAAACATGCAGATAGATAAGGTCTTTGTTGGGGAACACACAGAAAGAAGAGTAAATGTTACATCCTTTATGATGAACCCCAAGGTAAAAATAAATGTTACCCTTGTTTGTTAAATATACAGTTTTATAGGCAGAATTTACCACAGCAACTTAAACCTGTAGGTTCCCCTAGTGAGCAAGTAAATTTCAATTTTTAACAGATTGGAATTAGCTATGAATCCCAACAATTTTCAGTAAGAATATCTCAACAGATAAAAGATAGATATGTATGGTCCCCAGAAAATAAGTCCTAAAGAAGTCATGAACTTCACATTTTGAGATTTTGGTGACATATCTCAAAAACTATTGGATGGATTGCCAAGGAATTGGGTACAACATTAATTTCCCATCTGGATTGTATGGAATAATTTTGGTGATACTTTTTGTAAAATGTTTTTGTTCATGAGGAGATACTAGCGTGCTCATTAGCAACTAGAGCTAGAGTAGTGTATTGTAGAGTTGCTAATCTTCAGGATGGTAGCCATGTCAACAGGGGCGTACAGAGACAGAACTTTGGCCACAGACTTTGAAATGGTCAGGCATTTCATGGTGCATGCCACGGCAGAGGACCAGACACTACTAACATCAGAATGTAAAAAAAATCAAACCTGGCATGGGTCGCTCTTTCTGGTATCTTCCTGAACTTGTTGGATTGCCAGTCCTCTCTTGATCTTCATTGTCAACATGCTTACTGAACATCAGAATTTACCTCATCAAACTCAAGTACAGTCTCCCAAGGTTACTAGCATGGCCATCCAGTCTTACGGTGCGTCAACATGGAACCAGATAGAAGACGACAGATGGACAACACTGGTTGATTAAATCCCACTAAATATATTTGATTCATTCACGCTGACTTCTCTTTAAAAATGTGGCTGTAATGGTTATTCTTGTAACTAAGTAACACTTTCACCAAAATGATTCAGTGCCTGATCAATGTGAAGGCAGCATCAATCTGGTCTCCATGAAGACTGATTATCAGTACCATGTGGGCTCACAACGCCCAGTGAGCTCAGTGTTATCTGGGCTCACTGTTGTTTGTAGTCCTTTGTCTAAGTATAACAATGATTAGGAAATAGTACAAGCCCAAGTCCACAATACATGCAACTAAAAAAGGAACTCAATACCAAAACATACAATGACCCAACTTACTCTTGTTTTTTGAGGTTCTTTGTTTGTCAGATTCCAGACTTGGGCTTTATAAGCTCTGTTGGTTATCCTCGTTTTATTGGGCCATTAAAATGATGAATAGGCCGGGTGTGTAATGCACATCGAGAGGGAAATTGCTTTGAAATAACTGTGAGCGACATCTCCCTGTGACTTATCGCCCATTCTACTTAAGCCTGCTGCTGCTACTCAAAACGCACCGGGAAATGAATTACTTATATATATATATATATATATATATATATACACATACACGCACACACAAATCTATCAACCACTTAACCCTTCACTGTCATGATACCCAAAGCTGGCCAGAGCCCATAGAGACCTGAGCAGCGCCGGCCATGAATAGACTTGGTTTGGCTCCCTTCAAAGAGAAGAAGCAGTTCAAAACACATGTACAAAATGCCCTCACATAAAGCAGGCCATGACATGGATTTCTGTTTAAGTGCAGTATATTTAAGAATAGAAGCAGGAGTATTTCAAAATGGCACAGTCAAATTCTTTGGTGAAATTTGGTGAGAGCATAGATTGACTGTGATTATGGAATAAAAATACATAAAATCCAAAGTATAGCAATGCATTTTGTTCCAAAGATCTTGCTTCATAACTCTCATGAATTACATTCTCTGTTTTGCTTCGGACAGGTTCTCTCGGTCTGACGAGCTCTCCCGACACCGGCGCTCCCACTCGGGAGTGAAACCATACCAGTGCATCGTCTGCGAAAAGAAGTTTGCCCGCAGCGATCACCTGTCCAAACACCTCAAAGTCCACCGCTTTCCAAGAAGCAGCAGGACAGGGCGCTCTGCAAACTGACTCCTCTGACCCCACTCTGACAGACTGACGCTGAGTGGGGATGGGATGGGATGGGGAATACACACACACGCACCTAAGCGCGTGTGTGACAAAAGAGTGAGGACGGGTTAGGGGAGGTTAAAAGTCCAAACACCTTTTAAAGGGGTCCTTGCGGGAGCTGTTGTTTGTTTATGTTCAATTGTGTGTACATGTGACGTACATCCATGGTACTGTTCTAATTTATTGGGTGACAAGGAAAAAAGTATACACACTAAAGTGAAACATAAAACTGTTACTTGACCCAACATCCTTACAGGTGAAATAAGCTTCTTGTACATGACAATTTATTTCGTCATTTTGTCACTCAAATAATTTAGCTGATCTGATTTGATGAAAGATTTGCTACTGAGATGTGTCTTGTTGTAATTTGCTAGCCTTAAAAGCCTTATATGATTTTAAAAAAATGCATTGCTAAGGTGTCTGCTTCTATTTAAAACCCTGAGTTTTATTTTTTGTACCTTTCTGGAGCCAAATGTTGTTTAGCAGAAACGCATCACTTGATGGCTTGAAGTTCAATTTGTTGCCCAACAACAAGAACCAACTGGATACGGGGAGCTTTTGGGGACTAATTCTTCCCCATTGACAGAAGAGTGAATGATATGCCAACATTCCTGTAGTTTTGAAAAGGTGTCTCTGTTGCCTTTGAGTCTCAATACAGGATAAAAACACTGAAGTAATATCGAACAAAAAGGAGAATATTCATGTTGAATTACAGTTCACCAGCAAGCATCATGTTGTGTAATTTGCACTTGCAACCACGTAATGTTTGTGTCGTTATGGTCCTTTTTTGGATCAAAACCCCATTCGGGTGCATCCACAAATAATGCTTATCTATATATTCTTTGAACCCGCCCAATGTTCACAACAAGTATTTACATTACATTACATGTAATTTAGCTGACGCTTTTATACAAAGTGACTTACAATAAGTGCATTTCGACTAAGAGTATTGTATTCTTCTATAAGAATTCAAACTCAAAAGAACAAGAAACAAGAAAGTGCAATTTCATTAAATAAGCCGATTTACAACTTGCTATAAATAAGAGCCATTATAAGTACAATTTAAGTGCTACAATTTGTTAGTCCTTTTAGTCAAGATAGAGTCTGAACAGGCAACATAATCATTACTTTGTTCTTTGAATGACTTCATGTCACTGCTGTCAGAAGTGGCACATGCAAAGGTTCATGGTCTTGACGTCTCCTGCCTCTTACCAAATCAAGCTTATTTTGTCTGTTTGATGTAAACACTGATGCGTTTAACGTATCCAATGAATTGATTTAAATATTTAAATCTAAGTTGATTATTTTTCGCACTTACTGATGCTGGAAATATTTGTGCCGTTTCAACAACCCAAATAAGAATCACCACAGAAGAATCACCTTTATGGGAATTTGAAATTCCTGTTGTCACAGAAGGCCAATACAGGATATTTAGAGACACAAAGGATTTGTCAACATTCACCACCGTAATCTACTGGTCGTAGAGTAAGCCTTGGTTATACTCTCGAATGGATGCGTATGCGGTCTGCTTGGAGAAGGGTTTCCACAGATAAGAAGTACACTGCTTCGCTCAAGCTTTGGCTACCAATCCGGACTGAGCAGTACAGCAATAACAAATGATGCGTATTAAGACATTTTCACCAAAGGTATTACGAAAATTGGAGATAATTTAAAAAAATAATTTCACATGTTATCACATTCTGGTGTTAAACATATCAGATCTCTTTCCATGAAATGAGATACCTTGATCTTGTACTGTATGCGAACAGTGACCAGTTCCTTTTTTTGTCGTACATTGCTTTAACGTGTGTCATTGTCCATCTCAGTTGAATTAAGCCAAATGTCCTCGTGGGAGGGACGCGAAATGCCTGCTGCACAGAATTTTTTTCAAGTATAATTTGTTGTTGATTATCCGCGCCAATGTTGTTTAAAGAGAGTAACATTTTTAACTGGAATCCAGGTGATTTTAGAACCGTTTGATTTGCTGAAACCTACATTGATTGATGAACCCTTTTGAGTGGTCAGAAGGCGGCGGATAAACAAGACACTGTATGGACAAAGTGTAACATTGATATCAAGCATTCCTTGCATACAATCAGGAGAAACACTTGTCGAAATGGGTGAGCCTGTAAATGTATGCAAATACTGTATATGCATCTAAAAGGTGGTCTGACTTATTCTTCTGGTGATTTTTGTGATTGTGAAAGATTTCTTTAAAGAATATCTAATTGGAACATGTGGTAACCTGCTTCTTCCTGTAAGGTTTTTACACGACAGATCATTATAAAATGCAGTGTCATAACACATCAATGGATCAGAATTTATATTACATGTTCTCCAATATGCAAACCTCTAACTTGGTCAGGTGCAAATTGCAATACATCATAATGTAAAATGAAACATGATGACTAAGGTGTATATTTCTGCTTTTGTTCCTACGTACAACACATTTACAATAAAAATCCTGAAACCTAATACAGCTTTTCTGTGTGTCTCATTGTAGCTGAACCACAGCCACTGCTGCGACAAGTGATTCGAAAACCTTTAGAGCTAATATTGTTATTTTTCTTTCAATAGTTGTAACAGCAGGGCTGTCGCACCTAAATTAATTGCGATAAACAATATTATTGTATTGTATTTCATGTCACTGATAACATGATAATAGCATGCGTGGCCCCCTTCCTAAAAATTATTTTGACACCCCTGCTCTATAACAAGAGCTAATTCATCCGGACTTGCCGCGGCGTGAATTACCGTAATTATTGTACGCATCACTTGATGGCTTGAAGTTCAATTTGTTGCCCAACAACAAGAACCAACTGGATACGGGGAGCTTTTGGGGACTAATTCTTCCCCATTGACAGAAGAGTGAATGATATGCCAACATTCCTGTAGTTTTGAAAAGGTGTCTCTGTTGCCTTTGAGTCTCAATACAGGATAAAAACACTGAAGTAATATCGAACAAAAAGGAGAATATTCATGTTGAATTACAGTTCACCAGCAAGCATCATGTTGTGTAATTTGCACTTGCAACCACGTAATGTTTGTGTCGTTATGGTCCTTTTTTGGATCAAAACCCCATTCGGGTGCATCCACAAATAATGCTTATCTATATATTCTTTGAACCCGCCCAATGTTCACAACAAGTATTTACATTACATTACATGTAATTTAGCTGACGCTTTTATACAAAGTGACTTACAATTAGTGCATTTCGACTAAGAGTATTGTATTCTTCTATAAGAATTCAAACTCAAAAGAACAAGAAACAAGAAAGTGCAATTTCATTAAATAAGCCGATTTACAACTTGCTATAAATAAGAGCCATTATAAGTACAATTTAAGTGCTACAATTTGTTAGTCCTTTTAGTCAAGATAGAGTCTGAACAGGCAACATAATCATTACTTTGTTCTTTGAATGACTTCATGTCACTGCTGTCAGAAGTGGCACATGCAAAGGTTCATGGTCTTGACGTCTCCTGCCTCTTACCAAATCAAGCTTATTTTGTCTGTTTGATGTAAACACTGATGCGTTTAACGTATCCAATGAATTGATTTAAATATTTAAATCTAAGTTGATTATTTTTCGCACTTACTGATGCTGGAAATATTTGTGCCGTTTCAACAACCCAAATAAGAATCACCACAGAAGAATCACCTTTATGGGAATTTGAAATTCCTGTTGTCACAGAAGGCCAATACAGGATATTTAGAGACACAAAGGATTTGTCAACATTCACCACCGTAATCTACTGGTCGTAGAGTAAGCCTTGGTTATACTCTCGAATGGATGCGTATGCGGTCTGCTTGGAGAAGGGTTTCCACAGATAAGAAGTACACTGCTTCGCTCAAGCTTTGGCTACCAATCCGGACTGAGCAGTACAGCAATAACAAATGATGCGTATTAAGACATTTTCACCAAAGGTATTACGAAAATTGGAGATAATTTAAAAAAATAATTTCACATGTTATCACATTCTGGTGTTAAACATATCAGATCTCTTTCCATGAAATGAGATACCTTGATCTTGTACTGTATGCGAACAGTGACCAGTTCCTTTTTTTGTCGTACATTGCTTTAACGTGTGTCATTGTCCATCTCAGTTGAATTAAGCCAAATGTCCTCGTGGGAGGGACGCGAAATGCCTGCTGCACAGAATTTTTTTCAAGTATAATTTGTTGTTGATTATCCGCGCCAATGTTGTTTAAAGAGAGTAACATTTTTAACTGGGAATCCAGGTGATTTTAGAACCGTTTGATTTGCTGAAACCTACATTGATTGATGAACCCTTTTGAGTGGTCAGAAGGCGGCGGATAAACAAGACACTGTATGGACAAAGTGTAACATTGATATCAAGCATTCCTTGCATACAATCAGGAGAAACACTTGTCGAAATGGGTGAGCCTGTAAATGTATGCAAATACTGTATATGCATCTAAAAGGTGGTCTGACTTATTCTTCTGGTGATTTTTGTGATTGTGAAAGATTTCTTTAAAGAATATCTAATTGGAACATGTGGTAACCTGCTTCTTCCTGTAAGGTTTTTACACGACAGATCATTATAAAATGCAGTGTCATAACACATCAATGGATCAGAATTTATATTACATGTTCTCCAATATGCAAACCTCTAACTTGGTCAGGTGCAAATTGCAATACATCATAATGTAAAATGAAACATGATGACTAAGGTGTATATTTCTGCTTTTGTTCCTACGTACAACACATTTACAATAAAAATCCTGAAACCTAATACAGCTTTTCTGTGTGTCTCATTGTAGCTGAACCACTGCCACTGCTGCGACAAGTGATTCGAAAACCTTTAGAGCTAATATTGTTATTTTTCTTTCAATAGTTGTAACAGTAGGGCTGTCGCACCTAAATTAATTGCGATAAACAATATTATTGTATTGTATTTCATGTCACTGATAACATGATAATAGCATGCGTGGCCCCCTTCCTAAAAATTATTTTGACACCCCTGCTCTATAACAAGAGCTAATTCATCCGGACTTGCCGCGGCGTGAATTACCGTAATTATTGTAATGTTCAGTCGTCAAGTCTTAAATGTAGAGCTAAATGTTCACTCTACATTTAACATTTGCATTTAGATTTAAAATTATTTATACAACTTTTTTACTGCCAAACATTATCCTTGGAAAAGTTATTGCATGAATGTACATGAATTTCTCTCTAAATGTTTGAAAAAGTGACATGTGAATATTGTCATGCTTTTTTATTTCATTCATTTTAGACATTTTACAAACGGCGCCCCATACTGGTGTACTACTTTTCAACCCTAGACCTGCCGGCAATGGAAAAAACAACTGCAGTTTTAAGCTTTAATGCTACTTGGAAAATCATTTTTTTCATAATTTTTTCCGGTATGTATCCTAAAGATTAAAAAACAAATTCCATACATAAAAGTAAAGTTGGGTAACTCAAGTTAACACAAGTTAACACATTGCCAGTGTGTTCTTTATCCGCATGGAGCTCACAAAGTTACAGAAAAAAATAACAATAAAATACAAAAAGATTGGATGTATCCGAAATGTCAAGATTTGTACCACATGGAAATTAAACCCCCCTTTCCTGCTCCCTTTTCATCCAGACTCGTCCTTTTTCCACCCAGACTTACCCTTCCCCCTTTCAAGATTTTTATACAATGGCGTTGGACGTTTTTCTGCCTCTTGGAATGTTTGCAGAGTCATTGTAAACAAAAAGAGTGGTAGCTGCTAAGTGTCTGTGTGTGTGACATGTGGTATGGATATACATCTGTTGTTTTGTGTGCCAGTGCCGTCTCAGAGGCATTCAGGGAGGCAACAGAAGGATTTCATTCAACACATCTGGTTCTGAACGACATTGTTTTTTTTTTGCTTGTCTCAGTTTCAACAGCGAGACTCCCTTTCTTTGGAAGGGGGTCTAATATTTTATGAAAGATAAATGGTTAGTGTAGAAGCTAAGCCAACGCTTTAATCCACTGAGGCATTTTGTCTGGAAACTTAATTGACACGCCGCTGTTGTACCATGACAGATGAATGAGAATCCTGTAGCCTTTTTGTTACGTTGCAAATGAGTCCATTTATTTGCCAACTCATTCTTGTCATATGTTTATCATACATCCACTCAGCGGGCGTTACATAACACTACCCAGCGTGCGGTCAATAACAGTTTTTTCCCGGCTGGAAACCCAGCCGGGATAGAAAAAGACTGTTGAGCCCCCAAAGGTTCCTACCCTATATAGGCTGACCCGCCCATCAATCAGATCCTGACACACATCATAATGGCTCTTACAGTTAGTTATGTTTACATTTCATCTATTTTAATATACTAATATTCAACCTTGGAGTACTCAATACTGAGCATGTTTAAACATGCAACAGAATAAAACAGTGTTTTGGCAATTAAGCACTTGTGTATGTAATAATTGTTTGTATTTTAGTAAATGACAGCCACATTCCCCAGGTGGTTCACATTAGACACAGTGATCAACCAGCAATCTGATATCCAATTAGTGGCAAAGATGACAAGCATGAAGGATTCCTACATAGATAGAGAGTCTTCTCTGTGATGCTGTACTTAATATAGAAGCATTAATATTAAATTGTTTCAGAACCAGTAAGAATGTCCTGATAGTACCTTAAAAAATGCATTCGCTCCAAAACTGAGCCAGAACTTCCAACAATCTTCACTTATCTGTTTGCTCCAAACACAACTCCAACCAGTTACAAAATATGTTATGCAAGTTAGTCCAGATAATTTGCACACGGCAGTGCTTATGTATACTTTTTCATTGAAGCTGGAAGCTAAAAACTAGCCAAAACAACGCTGAATACACTGATATTTGTATAATTTCTCAGACAAACCTTGCCAAAGTTAGAGCAAAATAACCACCGAGATTTATTTCTTCACCAGTAACATATAAACTCATTTTTTATCCTGACAGATTAGATTAGTTGAAAGAGTTATTAAACGTGTTACATGCCACGTACCAGCCTGCTTCAAGGCCTCCACCATCATCCCTGTCCCCAAGAAGCCCAGGATCACAGGACTCAATGACTACAGGCCCGTCGCCCTGACCTCTGTAGTCATGAAGTCTTTTGAACGGCTAGTCCTGACCCACCTGAAGTCCCTCACCGCCCCCCTCCTGGACCCCCTGCAGTTCGCCTGCAGAGCCAACAGGTCTGTGGACGATGCTGTCAACATGGCCCTCCACTACATCCTCCAGCATCTGGACTCCCCAGGAACCTACGCCAGGATCCTGTTTGTGGACTTCAGCTCTGCTTTCAACACCATCATCCCGTCTCTGCTGCAGGACAAACTCTCCCAGCTGCACGTGCCCGACTCCACCTGCAAGTGGATCACTGACTTCCTGTCTGACAGGAAGCAGCACGTGAAGCTGGGGAAACATGTCTCAGCCTCTCGGACCATCAGCACCGGTTCCCCCCAAGGCTGCGTTCTCTCCCCTCTGCTC